GTGACCTCCCGGATGCTTTAAAAAGCGGCTTCCCCTCACTCGCGCTCTCTCACCTGGCTTCTGGGCACCTGCCGGCGTGCCCGGACTGCCGCTACCATTCTGGGCCCTGTTGGACCAGCCGCCACGCCACGCTTGTTTGTCCTTTCATTTACACGCACTACAACACAATATTTGCACTACAACGGTTGTCCTACTGACTTTCATATACAACACCTTGCACCCCACAGCATACCATTCACTTACACTGATTTCATACAGATTCCTTTATTATTGTTTAAATAAATGCCCCACAGAGGGTTTAAAGTTCTCAGTTTGTCGTGTCCTCCCTCTCATGTTATGGTCTCACGAGCCGGGCCGAAAGCTTATTTTAATGCATGACACGTTTAGTTAAGAAAACACTTGGGAAAAAGGAAAAAATAAGAGAGGGAATGGGCCGGGCGTGGGCTCCCTCCCCCCCTTTTTGGGGTGGGGGCCTGCTTGGGGGTCTGTGTGTGTGTCGGATTTGGTTTTGATGTTGGCTGGGTTCCGCTTAGCTTGGTGAAACTCAGGCGGGCAGACTTTATATCTTATCTTATCTGTGGGGTGTATGTGTGTGTGTGTGTGGAGTGTGTGTGTTTATGGGTGTGGGTGTGTGTGTGTGTATGTGTGGGTATAGACCATAGACTGTATAGAAACATCATGGTGTCATTATGATGATGATAAACAATCTGTAAATATTTTGTAAATTTGTTCATGTAAATACTCTATGCTGTTTCTCTGTTTACTTTCGGTATATCTACGACTGTATACTGTTTGCTTGTATTGCCTTTTTTATTAACCCCTCCCCCCCATCTCCCACTTCATGTCCCCCCCCTCCTATGTGCCCTTCTGGGTTTCTTCTTTGGCCCCCTGTATCTCCAACTACATATTGTTTGTAATCTCTGGCTGAGTTTACACGGAGACAATGTGGCAGTGAAACGGTATAGTTGGATGCCGGTTGCTACCAACCGTTCATACGAAGACAGTGTTCCAGGGGGGTGAAAACGTAAGTGTTCAGATCCAGCTTGCAGAGTGGGACAACTCAGATACGCTGCACAGCGGGGAGCTTCTTCACACCCGCGAGAGGGGAATAGGTGTGAAATCCCCCTCTACTCTGAACCCCGCCTCCGCGCTGCTCCCCGCACGTAAATTTGGACATGCGCAGTAGCGGAGAACAAACATCAACAATAATGGCGCCGCCCACACAAACTAGCTACGTGGGCTTCCAGCGCGGCACAGAGGATAACTCTACTCCTTCGTTCGTCCAAACGAGACCACGGGAAGCTCTAGGTTCAGTTCCCATGTTCACAGCTGCTGTTAAAATGCAGAATGATGTTGGTGCGTTCTGAGGGTCTGGCACAGGAAGTGAGTATACTGCCGAGAGGGGGGCTGGGCACGGGGCTCGGGGTCGTGTGTCGTGTTGTAAAGTTTATCTGCCCACTACTGGCCGGGCGCTAGAACTACATCGTTTTTCAACCTCATGTGAACGCTGAGAAATTTGCATTAGGAGCCAGGTCGTTTCTGTTAATAGCCTGGAAACGTCTGCGCAGCGTCTCAGTACAAACAGGGCCTTAGTCTACAATGTATCTGAACTAGTCCTTTTCTTTGTTTCTATTTTTTTTTCTGTATATGTGTTTGTCTGATAAATAAAAAGTAAAAAAAAAAAAAAACAGTTAATATTGATTTGCGTTAACGCGTTAATAACGCGATATTTTGGACAGCACTAGTTGCTACACGAGAAACAATGAAGCACAAAAGACCGTTCACAGGGATTACGTGAAGGATTCTTTCATACAAAATCCGGAGCACCTTTTTCAGACTTCAAAAACCTCCGCAAAGACTGTGAAAGAAAAGGCCATTAAGGACATTCAGCTCCAGCAAACTTCAACTTGTGATGTGATCGATATGAGCAGACAGTGATGCAGGTATGTGAACTCTAAGCCAAAAAGCAGATTTATTTACTGTATTTCTGAAATTGCATGAAGGTAAAAAAAAAATGAAGTTAAAGTTAAAGCAGAGTCGTCACATGGTGTGTCATTCTCTCCAGGACACGCTGCAGTGAAAACACACATTTGATCATCTTGAGTGCTTTTTACGTGTTTGTAGCCTTTACTTTGTCATTTAGATATTAGGGTAATGTAGCTAATTACCTAACATTGTGTTACCTTCATATAAGCTTTATACAAGGCTGTTATTTTTGTGCGGCTCCAGACAGATGTTGTTTTTTGTTTTTTTGTCAAATATGGCTCTTTGAAACTTTTGAGTTGCCGATCGCTGGTATAAACAAACTGTAAAAAACGTGGAAAAACATGCCCGGACCGCTAAGAAGGCCTGCTTGACTCGGTTGTTCTACTCCTAGGCCTAGGTCTGAAGGTGTGAAATATTACACTGCTTGCGGCTTTAATTATTTATTTAAGTCAGTCCCGACAAAAAAAATTATTATTATTATTATTTTGGTGTATATTTTTATGGGACTAAAACAATGCCAGAACAGCGCCCCCTTCAAAACTCAATTTACTAATCCTAGTAAAGAGTAAAGGTAACAACCTCCATCTGAATGCATCCAAACATGTGAACTGGTCTTTTAGTCGTAACAGTTCTCACACGCCTGTTGTTATTGATATCTCCCAAGTGCAGATTGTAGAGGAGTGCAGGTTGCTTGGGTTTAATAATAATAATAATAATTCATTTTATTTTCATAGCTCCTTTCAAGACACCCAAGGACGCCTTACAAATAAATGGCGTTTAAAACGGCATGTGGGCAACAAATACAGTTGAAAGCAGCCTGTAGAAAAGACAACAAGCAGCATTAGTGGAGCTAGTGGTCCAGTGGCTCAGATGGAAAAGCACATGTCTATGGTGTTGATGGTTGCTAGTTCAAATCCCCAGTGACTACCAATGAGATTTGCTGATGTTGGGTCCTTGGGCCTAACACTTCATGAAGAATGTCAGAAGTGTCATAAATTGTTTGAAAAATGTTGTTTGAGTAATAATAATATGTTATTGCATAAATTTGTTGAAAGACTTAATTTCATGTATTATATATAGTTTAAATTCCACATGAGTCATCCAGTGGCGCACTTGGTTTTTAACTGCCTCTCATGCGGAAGATACCCGGTTCAAATCCAGGAGAGGTCATTATTTTTTCTTTGTCAGATCCATCCATCCATCCATTTTCTACCCTTTAATCCATTTCTGGGTCATAGCACCAGCCCCTCACTGACCCACTTGGTTTTTAACTGCCTCTCATGCGGAAGATACCCGGTTCAAATCCAGGAGAGGTCATTATTTTTTCTTTGTCAGATCGATTGATGAAATGTCCTAAAACAACAATAGAATCTTTCGGTTTTTTCTTTGCCAAAACACAAATTAAGTGGCGCAGTCATTAAACATTCGTCTATAGTGCGTAATATTGGCAGATCGAATCAAAGTACCGTTTTTTTTTTTAATGGCGGTTATATAAAAACTGTATATATATATATATATATATATATATATATATAAGATGTATATCTATAAATATGTATATCTATAAATATCTATATATATGTATAAAGAAATAACCGTCATAAAAAAGTTTTTGATCTTGGCTGGATTTGAATCTGCGAACTCTTGCATGATTGGCGGACACACACCAGCTATACCACTCACCAGGTGGTTTTAAGTAAAATTGTGTCTTGAGTGTTTTACACATCATTTAGTTTTACCCTAACGATGATGCAATATTAATCCTAATGCAAGATTACTATTGGAACAACACATAACCATATGTATGAATTATATATTCATACATATTCAATTTGTATTTAATCTGACAACAAAAAAATACAGGCCAGACCTGGAATTGAACCAGGTATCTTCCACATGAGAGACAGTTATAAACCAAGTGCGCTACAGCAATATACACTTCTTCAGAATCTAAACCACATTTTTCAAACAACTTGTGGCACTTCTGACATTCTCCATGAAGTGTTATGCCCAAGGACCCAACATCAGCAAATGTCATTGATAGTCACTGGGGATTTGAACTAGCAACCATCAACACCGTAGACCTGTGCTTTTCCATCTGAGCCACTGGACCACTATCTCTAATACTGCTGCTTGTTGTCTTTTGTACAGGCTGCTTTCAACTGTATTTGTTTTACACGCCATTTATTCCCCACATGCCGTATTAAACGTAATTTATTGTCCACATTCCGTTTTAAATGCCATTTATTGTCCACATGCCGTTTTAAACGCCATTTATTGCCCACATGCCGTATTAAACGCCATTTATTGTCCACATTCCGTTTTAAATGCCATTTATTGTCCACATGCCGTTTTAAACGCCGTTTATTGCCCACATGCCGTTTTAAACGCCACTTGTTGTCCACATGCCGTTTTAAACGCCATTTGTTGTGTACATGCCACTGATCAGGTGTGGCAGGTGCCGGTGCCACAAAAGGAGCCTGCCCTTTCTCGAAACCTGTTGAAGTAAGACTGCTCCCTTCTTGTTGATGCTGATGTTCGGATTGAATCACAGACTCATTGTTGGCCTCATTGACCACTCAGACCCAGGCTCAGAATAATATTTAATGTACTGTAAATACTGAATTGAACTACTGCATTGATGTGATTTGACACTTACAAGTGCCTTGGGTTAAAAAAATCACATTCAAGAAGTTGTTGTACGCTTTGTGAGTACGCTATGTAAGTTTTTGATAATTTTTGTAAATTAACACTGGCCTCCTCCAGAATTGAGACTAAAGTAATTCAATTGATGAAAACCTGTTGTATTATGCCCCAAATAGTATTTAACTTACTTTATTACAACGCTCCTACACTTCCAGTATGTTGGTCTGGTTGCAGATCTTCCGCTTCACGTTGGTCTGGTTGCAGATTTTCCGCTTCATCTTGGTCTGATTGCAGATCTTCATGCTTCATGTTGGTCTGGTTGCAGATCTTCCGCTTCATGTTGGTCTGATTGCAGATCTTCATGCTTCATGTTGGTCTGGTTGCAGATCTTCCGCTTCATGTTGGTCTGGTTGCAGATTTTCCGCTTCATGTTGGTCTGGTTGCAGATCTTCCACTTCATGTTGGTCTGGTTGCAGATCTTCATGCTTCATGTTGGTCTGGTTGTAGATCTTCATGCTTCCTTTTGGTCTGGTTGCAGATCTTCCGTCGGTGCTGGTTGGTGTTGAAGAAGTCCTCCAGTAAAGACCCTGGTCGTCTGGAGAAATATCCTGATGAGAAGTCTGCATTTGTACAAACCTGCCCAAAGGTCAGTGCAAAGGTCAGCCCAAAGATTAGGGTCAGGGGTTAGGTCAAAGGTCGGCCCAAAGGTCTTCACTTGTCTTGAATGTTTGACTGATCTGTTTGAACTGTTTCTGTGAATGCTGGTTTTAACACAGGTTATTAAACGATTAAAACACCCACACCCCACACGAGTAGCTATAGTAACTATCTATTAACTAATTTCAACACCCACAAGTAGCTTAGCTATCATCATCATCATCATGTCTAGACTTACACACATACCTTTGTATGCTAATAAACAGTATCTAAGAGAAAATAAGATGTCATTCATAATCCATGCTGAGACTGCGTTATGTCCACTCTCTCAATGCTAACCCGCTAGCTCAATGCTAACCTGCTAATAATAATGACAATAATAATTATGCATTGGTTTTACATAGCACTTCCCGGGACACTCAAAGACGCTTCACATGTTATTATTCATTCACTCCTTACATGGTGGTGATAAACTACAATTGTAGCCACAGCTGCCCTGGGGCACACTGACAGAAGCAAGGCAACCATTATATGCCATCAGCCCCTCTGACCACCACCAACCAGTCACACACACCAGACTCATTCTACGCAATGTAAGGGAAGTGTCTTGCCTGAGGACACAACAACAGTTTGGCAATTTGCAGCCATAGCCACCCCACTGTGGCACCTGGTGTTCCCAGAGGTCTCCAATAACAGTACTAACCAGGGCCTGCCCTGCTTAGAATCAGAGCTCTAACAAGCTCTGGCTTTCACATACACAGGTAACTCAATGCTAACCTGCTATCTCAGTGCAAACCTGCTATCTTAAGGCTAACTTGGGTGCTCAATGCTAATCTGCTAGCTAAAGGCTAACCAGCTAGCTCAATTAAGCCCATATGGAAGTGCTCATGATGAAATTTGACTTGTAAAAGTTTGGCTTGAAAATCATTTACATGTTTCTAATAAGACAGTCCCTCCAGAATTTTGCGATGTTGTGATTGTAACTCCATCCATTCATCCATTTTCTACCCCTTAATCCATTTCTGGGTCAGGGAGGTGGAGGTAAGAGCTGCACCCAGTACACAGAGCACTAGCCCCTCACTGATCCTCCTGCAGGTGGTGAGTCCACAGGAGGACGCCTGCTCTGTCAGTTAGAGCATAGTCTTGATTTCTCATGGAGAATGCGTTAATGCGTTAATTTTTAAAAATGAATTAACGTGATTTAACGCGATAATTTTGACAGCCCTAATTCTATAATAAACACATGTGTTATTGATGAGGTTTGGAATGTTAGGGTAGATGTATGGACCTCCAACCAGACACCAATGGAAACATAAAATCAAAAGTAAAAAAAAAATGTCACAAAGTCAAAGGAATAACAGTCTCATCATCAAGTGGAAGACGGGGATTAGGTAACTGGAGACAGCTGTGCCTGCTTGGAGAAACAGGAGCCAAGCCTTTTTGGGGCCCCGCTGATAAGCTAATGCAGCTTCCTGGGAGTTCCCCATTGCAAAGCAATTACAAACTTTACAAATTACAATATGTATGGCTTGTATTCCTATGAAGAGTTGCAAATAAAGAGATTTGAACTGTATTCAAGCCTGAGGCGTAAAACAAAACACAAAACCACAGGGGAGCCAATCTACAACAAGATAGTCGCTATTGGTGAGGTTAGTTAAGTTTATTAAGGAAAGCCCATTGAGATGAATCATCTCAATTTCGAGGGGGTCCTAAACATAAATAGGGGTTTAGGTACCCGTTATTATAATCAAGGTTAGTTACCCGTTATTGATTTTGGTACCCGAGCTTTAGACCAGATCCATCTGTTTGTACCTGTCTCCAAGGGCTCAAAGCCACATTTGTAATCTCCAGTTCTGAACTGGAGACAAATTAACTTAGGAATCCCTGATGCCCCAGACCCTGGACCCCTGAATCTGACCACAGATCCTGGAACCTTGATGCTTACCCCTGACCCCTGACCCTGACCCCTAGCACTAGAAGTCCTGTGGAGGTGCCATTTGGCACTTCTACCTAAAAAACCCACTCTGGTGCCAAATGACTCCAAGGATTTTAGCTAACAAACTAAATCACCTGTGAACGACTAATTTTGTTATTTAGATAAGGAAATTATCACAGGCTGCACTTTGCCATCTTTGGGAGAGGGGGAGGAAGTTAAAATGAGTTAAAACCAATGTCACGCTGACTGTAGTTAAAAGATAATAATGATAATAATAAAGTTAATTAAAAGAAAACAAACGTGCAACGTAATTTAATGTTTACATTTACATTACATTTAAAGAGTATAAATAAGCTACTTAATTTAATCTTTACATTTTCTACTGCATGTAATTATTACTAGCACCTCCCACCAGTGAAGTCGGTAAACCACTTTATCACCACTTTACCATCTTGGGGAAAGATGGTAAAGATCAACACACAGGTTTTTCTTTTGTTGGTGAGGTTCTACAAAAAAAGAAAAAAGCCAACACAGTTTTTCTCAGTTGCTGTGTTGCATTTCTCACATGAGACTTAAAGTTAAGTTACTTCCTCATACAATTCTCTGCTGTTTTATAACATTATCATTTGCTTCTGTCCGGTCAGTCCAAATGAAACATACTTCTGACTAATGAATAGTCATTCCCAGTAAAACTAATATTCCTCATCTCATCGCTTGAGTGACATACAAAATTGTTGAACTACTTCTCAAAACCAAAATCTGTCCAGCTAATTTCATTCATTCCTTTATAATTTTTTTCCTGAAAATCTTTCCTAAATTTAACAATTGCTCTCAGGTGAATTTCAGCTTTTACTCATGAGGAGGTGTGTGTTCTACCATAATTCTATTTCTTGTATGTTTGTTGTACGTAAATAATGTAAGTGACTGTATTTTTGTTGCACAATGCTGTAGAATTGCAAAGAGCAAATGCAGTAAATAAGTGAAATACATACAGTACCATACATGCAATACATACCATACATACCGTGAAATACATACAACACATAGAAAACAGTGAAAAATAATCCGCACAGCTATGTAGCTCCCAAAAACAGTGTAATTTATTTACATACCACACAAAATAGTAACGTTTCGGGCTGAGGCCCTTCGTCAGACTTGAAAACCAGACACACCTGGTAGCATTTTTAAAGATCCAGTCACGTGACCAAAGGCCGTCACGTGACTGGTGCTTATTAAACAAACATGTACATATATGTAAATACAAACAAACTCGCAAAAACATATGTACATACAAATACACATCAACAGTATATATAAAAAGGTCAACCCATCATGATGCTCTTAATATGTGCGTCTGGGTGTTTTACTTAAGTGGTGTGTAGTGAAAGCTACGTGGATGGAACAAGTAGTCTTGAACAACAGTCTCAAAAAAGTCAAAGATACAGAGCAAGAGCAGGACATTAACAGCAGCACAGCTGGTATTGTAGTCTCTGGAGTGCTAATGGCTGCGAGATGTGATCAAAGAAAGGGTCTTAAATCGAAATCCTCATTCATTCCTTTCGGATTCAGAGTCTCAAGGGTATAAATCCAGAATGCTTCCCTTCTCAGTAGAGCAGTGTTATATCTCCACCTCTTCTTGGTGTATTTACTTGTTCAATGCCCAGGTATCTCATTGAACTCACATTATGCTGGATTGTGTGAAATGCAACGCCACCGGACTCTTTGGATTGTTGTTGCGAATGTTTGATCGATGTTCAGCAATCCTGGTTTTTAACTCTCTCGTGGTTTTCCCAATGTATGCAAGTCCACATGGGCATTTTAACATGTATATGACGTTTTTGGTATTGCAACTGATTATACCGTTCACTTTGAATCTCTTCCCAGTTCTCGGGTGGTTGAACGTTTTGGTTTTTTGAGTGAAGTTGCATTGACTGCAGTGTCCACACCTGTAATTCCCATGAGGGATCTCCTGTAGAAAGTGGGACTGAGAACATGACGGTGGGTCGGCTCTGACCAGCATGTTTTTTAAGGTTCGGCGGTCTCTTGAGAACAATGCGTGGAGGGCCAGACAAACTCTTCAGATTTGGATCGGTTTGAATCAGGTGCCAATGTTTTTTTTATAATACGCTCCATGTCCTTACTTAAAGGCGAGTATTGTATAACGCAATTGAATTTGTGGCAATGATTTATTGGTCTTTTTGTTCTCCAAGCAGTGTTCCTGTGAAATGCCATCAAATCTGCTGCGCGCAGTTGAAATCCAGTCCTCTCTGTATTGTCTTTGTCTGAAACGTTGCTCCATTTCTTTGGCTTGATGTTGATAGTCTGAGTCTGTGCTGCAAATGCGTCTGATGCGATTGAACTGTGAAATGGGCAGGCTCTTTTTTAATGGTACTGGATGGAACGACTTTCCATGTAAGATAGAGTTTCTGTCAGTGCTTTTTCTGTAGAGATTTGATCTTAGTTTATCGGCATCTCTGTATATCAAAATGTCAAGGAAGTTCATCTTTTCAATGCTGTACTCCATAGTGAATTTCAATTGACACTCATTTGTATTGATAAGTGTATGAAATTCTTTAAGTTCAGATTCAGTTCCTTTCCAGAGAAAAAAAATGTCATCGATGTACCGGCGCCAGTGGTGGATGTTTCCTAGGTGAGGGTTGCGACTTTCGTTGAAGACCATCTCGTGTTCGAAGTAGCCCACAAAGAGTGATGCATAGCTGGGGGCCATTTTGGAGCCCATGCTTGTTCCCGAGATCTGGAGATAATAAGAAGATTCAAATAAGAAGAAGTTAGAGGTCAGTACAATTTCTAGCAGGTCCATTATGGTATTGGTGCTTGGTGTATGGTTGGAGCGCTGATCCAAAAAGAATGCATTAGCATGCAGGCCTCCTGTGAGTGGAACATTAGTGTAGAGTGACTCGATGTCCATGGTAACCAAGAAACATTCATTCTGAATTTCAATGGAGTTCAACAGTTTCAAAAAATCCATCGAGTCTTTAACATATGACGGGAGTGCTGTCACTAATGGTTGCAGGAAGAAATCCACATAGGCA